CCAAAGATGAAGCGCCTTCGTCATGCAGCGGCCTATACCTTAGTAAGCAATGGTTGTCGGGAGCATGTTAGTTTTCTCTCTAGTTTAGAAAAGGAAGAATCAAACCAATAAAGTGAAAAGAGAAAATTCAGCAATCCGACGAAACAGCGAAAATCGGTTCATGCGTTCCGCTCTGGCATTCAGCGACCGGGATTGGTAAACGAATCTGCTTCTCAAATTATGTTGAGGAAAGTTTATCCTGACCAGCAGATTTACCACCGCACTATTAAGGTGGGTCTTGCTATCTACATATGTATGACAACAAATTTGAAAAGCCATTTCTAGATTGATCGACCAAAGCGAATGCGTGTACGAGCGAAGAACCAGCGAGGTATAGCTGCTCGACAAGGAGGGTCAACCACGAATGTTCGATCACCTTTCTCCATACCTGTGTCGTCGCCAACGATGAATGGTGCATCACAACTTGTTATAACATCTCCTTTGCCACCGAGATCACCACCAACGCTAAAACGAGTGCCCATGCAACCTTATTCATTGAATCGTCAACCAACATTTGGCGCATCGCATCAACAAGTCCCAGCAGTTCAGCACTTCCTTAGCCCAGCTCCGAGGGCAGATCAGGCAGCAATCACCCTCGATCAGCTACCGCAGAGACTCTCAATTGCATCACCTTTAACAAGAACAATGATGCCGCCACTCAATGCTGCTGTCAAGCTACCTTTGGCACAAATAGAACCGACTAAGTAAGTGAGTTTGAAGCTAAACAATGAATATACGGAAATGGATCACAAGAGTTGTTCTTTCATAAGACCCATGAGTGATTATTCTTACATAGAGAAAAGTTTTGTCCAGTTTGTTAAGAACTGAAGTTGGCCTGGGGTGGGTAAGTTTGACAGCTGTCTCAAGACATCCCACTTCTAAAATAAATTGTTTTCTGTCCGTCTATACCAGAGAAAGCGATGGCTTTGGTAGAGCTAAAGACCAAAGCTTAGTTTTTCAGCTCTACTTTTACAATTTCGAGCAAAACTTCTTCATGGCAAATGACAAAGCCTGCTGAAAATTGCCTCTCTCGTATAGATTACTAATTTTTGGGTAGAGGTGGGAAGTGTTTTGAATTCAGAAGAAAACTGTGCCTTGGATGATGACAAATTTTTCTGCAAATTAGGTTTTGGTCTAATATAGCACTGTTGCGAAGCATTGAAAAGGCGAGTTTATCAAGGCTAAGTGCATGGCGTACCATTGAACGGCTGAGATGATCACTTAGACATGCCGTCTCGGTTTTTTTATTCTTTGCCCTTTGTTATTTGGAATCGCTAAACTACAGATTCGTATATATTAGAGAGTTCTTAATACTCATGAGGGAGAATACCGAGTCGCATTGACAAATGAATAAAAGATGCATAATACCGGAGACTTCTTTGCCCAATTATGAACCCGCTTTTCCGATATACTGAGCGCCTATTTAAAGTTTTCAGCGCTCAAAAGCAGTGCTTGGATTTGCGACTTTTCACACAATGGCCTTCTGGATACGCTGGGTCAGGCACTCCTGAAGTCAGAATAGTGTTTTTTGGCGTTTTTCGGGTTTGTGGATGAAGAAGTTGGAGGAGATTCCCGCCAAAAACAGCGACTGGCTGCAGTAGCTGTAGAGTTCCTTCAAAGTACGCCGCAGCATAGGTTGCGGTTCGCAGTGGAATGAGCTCACGGCAGCACAGTTTCGCTGTTTATCGATGTATATCTATAA